CAGGGTTGAATTCGAGAAGCCAGTTTCTGGACCACGTGTCCAGCCTGTCCAGGTCTCTTCGCAGTTCTGCCTCATCCTCATCCGATTTAATTCTTCTCATCAGCTTCACATCATCTGCGAACAAGGACACTTCAGAGTCTATTCCTTCCATCATGTCGTTCACATATATCAAAAATAGCACTGGTCCTAGAACTGACCCCTGTGGGACCCCGCTCGTCACAGGCGCCCACTGTGATACCTCTTCACGTACCATGACTCGTTGTTGCCTCCCTGTCAGGTATTCCCTGATCTATTGCAGTGCCCTCCTTGTTATATGCGCCTGATCCTCCAGCTTCTGCACTAATCTCTTGTGAGGAACTGTATCAAAGGCCTTTCTGCAGTCCAGGAATATGCAATCAACCCACCCCTCTCTCTAGTGTCTTACTACTGTTACCTTGTCATAAAACTCCAGAAGGTTTGTGACACAGGATTTGCCTTCCATGAATCCATGCTGGTTTTCATTTGTAATCTTGTTCCGTTCCAGGTGTTCCACCACTCTCCTCCTGATAATCTTCTCCATGACTTTGCATACTATACATGTCAGAGACACAGGTCTGTAGTTTAGTGCCTCGTTTCTGTCGCCTTTCTTAAATATGGGGACTACATTTGCCGTCTTCCATATCTCAGGTAGTTGCCTAGTTTCAAGGGATGTGTTAAAGATTGTGGTTAGGGGCACGCACAGCATTTCTGCTCCTTCTCTAAGACCCAAGGGAATATGTTCTCCGGTCCCATCGCCTTTGAAGTATCAAGGTCACTTAGCAGCTTCTGCACCTCCTCCTCGGTTGTTCGTATGTCATCTAACATTTGTTGGTATATTCCCTCTTGATGTTCCCTTCTGTGCTGTCTTCCCAGAGCCCTTCCTGTCTCTACTGTAAAAACTTCCTTAAATCTCCTGTTTAGCTCCTCACATACCTCCTGATGATTTCTTGTGAGTTCTCCACCTTTTGTCCTCAGTCTGATCACCTGGTCTTTGACTGTTGTCTTCCTCCTGATGTGGCTATACAACAGTTTTGGGTCAGTCTTGACTTTCGATGCTATGTTTTTTTTCATACTGTCACTGGGCCTCCCTCCTTACCTGTGCATACTCGTTCCTGGCTCTGCGACTAATCTCCCTATTTTCATGTGTTCTCTGCCTTCTGTACTTTTTCCATTCTCTATTGCACTTAGTTTTTGCCTTCTTACACCGTCGGGTAAACCAGGGGCTCGTTCTGGTCTTCCCATTGTTACTGTTGCCCTTGGGAATGAACCTTTCTACTGCCTCCTTGCATTTTGTTGCTAAGTATTCCATCATTTCATTTACTGGCTTTCCTGCCAGTTCTTTATCCCACGAAACCTCCTACAGGAAGTTCCTCAAAACTATGTAGTCCCCTCTTTTATAGTCTGGCTTTTCCCATTCAACTCCTATTACTCTCTCCACTTGCAAATCTACTATGTATTCAAAGCACAGAACCACGTGGTCACTATCTCCTAGGGGACTCTCATATGTGATGTCCTCAATGTCTGAACTGCCCAGGGTGAACATAAGGTCCAATCTTGCTGGTTCGTCCTCCCCTCTCACTCTGGTAGTGTCCTTAACATGTTGGTGCATGAGGTTTTCCAGCACCACATCCAACATCTTGGCTCTCCATGTTTTTGGGACCCCCATGTGGCTCAAGGTTTTCCCAGTCAATCTCCCTGTGGTTGAAATCACCGATAACCAGCAACTTTGCTCTGCTCGAGTGAGCTCTTCTTGCCACCTCAGCAAGTCTGTCCACCATTGCTCTGTTGCTCTCTTCATATTCCTCTCTTGGCCTCAGCAGTTCTGTGGTGGATTATACATCACTGCAATGACCCCTTTGTCTCCCCAGATGAAGTGTCCCTATTAGTAGCCCCTTTCTCCGTCTCGTCTCTCCCTCCTTTTCCCGAATTTCCATCGTTTTTTTACGAGCAGAGAAACCCCCTCCCCCCCCTTGCCCTTTATTTTTCCCTCATGATCTGAAATCCTGGTGGGAAGATTGCATCTGTTTTTTTCCGGAGTTTTGTTTCGAAACTGTTTTGATGTTGGGGATTTCTCTTGTTTTTTCTTGCCATTTAATTTTTATTTTTAAATCCATTCGCTTTTGGTGTCCAAAAACCCTTAACTTCCGTTCAATACGTAACTGGGGTCCGGGGGAAATATGGGGTGGGAGAGCAGGAGCCTTGTGGGGGCCGTGGGGGGTTGAGTGGGGGGGGGAAAGGCTCCGTGGGGTTTTTGTGAATGGTTCAGAGAACCGAACGTTGATAATTAGTCATTGCAAGTTCCCTAACATTTGGGCCCGCCCTACTTCCCATTGGGAAAAATGTGACACCCCCTACGATGCTACCCTCTTCCCTCGGTTTTTTAAGTGTTCTCGAACATATACCGCTTTTCTATTCGAATTGAGGGATGATCATCGATCAAGGCGAGGGATGTTCCTATTCCCCCCGTTCTTAAGTTTTCCCTTTGTAGGAAATGATAAAGACTGTGTGGCGAAACGTTTCCCTCAAAAAAGATCCCCCAAAGTTGCACAGGGTTTTAAATTTTCAGCTCCTGTAAAAGGTTGTGTGAGGGGGTTTCGTGGTGTGGGGGGTGGAAAAAGAGGGTCGGTGTGTGATTGTTGGTTTAGATTTTTTAGTTGCCCTTGAGGGGGCTGGTTTGGGGCTTCTGGGTGTTTGGGGGGTGTGCTTGCCCCCCACTGTCCCGGGTTATTTGCTTTTTTTGTTTTCCTCCATTCCCCCTCGTTTTTTCACCCTTTTTTCAGTTTCATCCTTTCCTCCTGTGTTCTGTCTCGATCGGGTTGGGTGTGTGTGTGTGTGTTACCCTTTAGGGGGTCGAAAGTTAAAGTAGGTTCTTGACTGAAGGAAGGGTTGTTAGGTTACGTGGGCCTCTGGCGGAATACAGTACAATTTGTACTAGTTACCAATTACCCTATTAGAAACCCCGGGAGCCGAAAGGGTAGAGCGTTGGACCTGTCAATTTAGGACCACAGTTCGAGCCTCTCCTCCATCTTTCGTTTATTCAGTGACAGTTGTTTATTGGACTTTATCTGTATTCGGAAAAACTTGTTCGAAAATTTCCATAAATATGAGTTTAGTAAAAAAATTATATTCAAATTACTTCTTATACCATCCCCTGCTCTAATATTTTTTTCAAAAAAATGGAAAAAAAATATGAAACGAAATTACTATGAGTCTACTTCTTTGTTTTTGAGTGATTAGACAGTTACTGTATTTGCATGTAGACAACCGCACTACAGCCCTGCAGTAATTTCAAATAAATTAAAAAATTTTTTTTTAAATTCAAAATTAAAAATCGAAAAGAAAAAATAAAAAATATTTATTGAAACGTGTTACTTTTTTCAACATAAAAAGTTCGGCCCGAAAAAAAATTAAGGATCAAAAATCTTCTAATCTTGAAAAATTTACTTGTATAAAGCTCAGTTTATACTTGGCCCCTTAATCAAACAAACTCAACTCTACTATTTTTTTAAAAAACCCTACTAACTTAGTTGTTTTTCAGTTAACACTTGAAAATACGTTTTGGGAATTTCTTTGGGAACTACTAAACAACCGTCCTTACTTTTTGGAGGGTTGGAAAATGGGATTCCCTTCCCTACCGGATTCTTTTTTTTTTCAACAAAATTCTTAAGAATCTAAAATCTGATTTTATTGTAATTTATAAATCAGAATTCCTAGCAAAAAACTATATTCGCAGTTTGTGCTCCCACAGGGTTAAATAACCCAGATGAATTCAAGATATCAAAGCGCTGTCGTTTATTCAAGGTGTTCTAATTAGTATTTATTCCTCGGATGTGACCATTAACTCATAACAATGTGAATAAGGGCCGCAAGTAGTAAGACATATCCATTTGTTTCGAACCTACCTAGCACTGAACTTGGTTCCTTATGGTTGTGAGCCGAACGATTTAATCCTTTTTGACAAGTTTTCAAGATGAAGGAGACTAAAGCATCAATATCTGCCGATCATTCTTTCAGTTCAAGCTAGACCTCAAAATGAACGCCAGAACAAAACTTTACCTACGAAGTAATGTTAGGTTGATTTCTCCAAAGAAATAAGACATGTCGTCAGTGAGTTAAGTCAGATTCATATCTCGTCTGTGAATTACTAAGTCAAGCTCAGAGACAGTGTGGATCTCGGTGTTATTACCTCACTTATAACACCAGTACCTCGTGTATAACACCAGTACCTCGAGAATAAAACCTGTACCTTGAGTATAGCACCAGTACCTCGTGCATAACTCCGGTATTTTATGCATAACACGTAAATATATCTAAAGAGAGTTTGTTGCGTTTATTTTATTTCGATTTAGAGAACAATGTATGGAAAGTGTAAAATTCAAATTGTCTTTTTATCATTTTCTGTTGCCAACAAATGGCTAAAAGAATATATCAACAAATTAAGTGTTAGAACCCTTTATTATGTTTTTTAGTAAGGTTGGTTTACTTTTTTTTTTTTTTTTTTTTCATCTGCCTTATTAGGATAATTATATCCTAGACCACGCTCATGAAATTCTCTTACTGCAGAATTTATGCTTTCATTATATTGTAATTTACTGAAGCCACCAATATTTCTGGTGGGCATTTCATCCTCTGTATTATTAGTTTGTGAAACATTTTCGGACGTCATTGGTTTATATGACTTGTCTTCCTCTCTCAGAACTTGGTTTCTTCTTGAATGATCCATATTGACATTACCAGTTTCTTGAGAGGCGTCTTGTATCCCACCAGGTGGTGTTGGATCATCCGTTGAGGTGCTCATCTCTGATGAACGTTTTGTTGCGTCAGGTCTCCCTTCGTCTGATATGGCACTGATCTCTGATAATGATGAAAGCTTCGAATCGTCTTTTATCTCTCCTGCTCCGTCAGTCGCAGGACTGATCGTTTGTCGACTGTGTGTGAACTTATTGGAGAGTTTGCCCATAGCGACATCATCATCCTTTGAATAAGATAATCTTATCTTATGCTCCTCTTTCCCTGAATTATTTATTTGCTTTTGTTTTTGTATTAAATTCGTCGGTTTGTCACTCTGGGCACGAGATGTCGCCTCATTTGTATCTTGGTGGCAGTCAGCGCCGTCAGACCTTGTGAAAGTCTGATTTTGATTCATCAATGTTGGATTGGTGTTTATATCATCAGTTTGTTCTTGCTCTGTGATACTCGCAACAACGTCCTCTGCTTCATCAACATCGTCTGAATCACTAATAGGTTTTCCCTCTATAACATTAGGAAAAAAATTTATTCGTTCACTCCCATTTTTGCCCTTTTCCAGAGCTTTGCTTTGTTCTGATTTGTTTTACAATTATTTGTGTCCTATCAATTTGATTGTCCAGTGTTACGTGAGTGTTAACTGGCTGTGAGTACCACTCGTTAGTCTGATATTTGAGGCAAGTAGTTTCTAAGGCCTCTTCGGGCTGTTGTTGATCATCTTGTGCGTTGATTTGTCTCTCAATATTCTGGTTTCCTGTTCTATCTTGCGAAACATCTTTACTGTTATGAACAGTTTCCTGTCCACCTGCTATGTCATCAACTAACACTTGACTGCCATCCTGGCCATCTAATACAATGCCTTGTTTGTTGTCGTTACCTCCAGAACCCAATGTTACACCCTCTACAATACCATGTTCACTACCACGTTCCACTCTCACTCCACTTTTTCTGTTATTCTCACCTTCTATCACGCGTGCCACACTAACTTGCCTGCCATCCTCGTCACCTTCCACATATGTAACACCATCTTGCCTACCCCCCTGATCACCTGCCATATCATAATGCCTGCTATCTTTGTCGCCTACAACACAGGTATCCTGGACACCTTCCACCGTGCCTTGCTTGCCATCGTTGATCATTAGCAGCTGTTTCTCTTCATTCACATAACTCTCCTTTTTTACATCTCTCGTATTCGTCAGTGTACGCTTCTCTTTTGCTCTGTTTCGTTTCCTCTTATAGTAACAGAATCCAACTGCAGCAGCGATGGCCATCAACAAAGCCAAGATGGCAAGAATAACAACGGTAGCAACAGTGGTTGACTTTGTAGATCGTTGTGGGTCGTCATATTCTCCAGGTTGTGGCAACGCAGAAAACACTCTTCCATCTGTAAAACAGAACATGTAATAATTGTAAGAACTAAGGTTCATTTCAGTATTAATTGCGTATCAGTTCTCTTCAACTCGTCAACATTATTAACACTAGTTAATGTGTAGTTTTTGTATAAAACGATACTGTAGCTAAAATGTTAGAAAAAAAAAAGTTTGAAATTACCTCTATTGCAACTGAAGCTAAGATGAACCTGGAAACCTTGAGACACATGGGCGTACACCTGGTAGAAATCTGTTGCATTAACCTGGTCGAACTCCACGGTATTCACACCATCTAGTTCTACGTTAAGATGTCCCATGTTTAAGGAGAGGTTGAGGAAAATCTCGTTTGTTGGTGACAGTTTTTGGAACACCTGAAAGGGCACATCGATCTGCTGTTGGTGATCACTCATATGAACAAAAGCCGATCCCTTCTCACTCATCCTCTTTAAAGTTAGCATAATGTTCTCTCCAACTTTTCTGAACTTTAGGGATCCAACTGGAGTGCTGTCTGAGAGCTCGAATCCAAAAGAGAACTCTTGCCAAGCGTCAGGCGGTAACTTGACAACGACGGGAAGTGTCTCAGGCAGAGGGAGGAGGGCGTCCAGTCCTCGCTCTCTGAACCGTTCAGATGGTTCCACAAACATTCTGTGCCTTAAAAAGAAAACACAGTGTAAAGCAGCGGTCAAGGACTGTAGGAGACCCCTGCTACGGTGAAGGGATCACGGGGCCTTTTTTTACATATGTTAAAGAAATTGATTATAGTACCTACATCCCTTTCAATGGGGGTGTCTTGATCTTGGTGAAAAGTTATTGATCAAACGAATTGAAGTGACCCTCCCTTTCGGGTAGCTAAATCTGGCTTCTCCAGTGAGCATGCTGCTCCATGATCTGGAACGATATCGTTCCAGACCATGGAGCTGAACTCTTCTCCAGGCTGAGGGACTGACCACCTCAAATCCTTTTTTATCCAACGTTGATGAACTGATTGCATCATTTTTATTTCACTACTAAACTTGTTTCCTCTGTATTTAACTGAAGAAGCCTACTGTGTAGGCGAAACGTTTCATCTATAAAGATACCCAGCTGTTGAACATGTGTCTTAATCTTCAACTTGTCGATCTTTTATTCTACTGTATTTTCAACAATAAGCATGTTAGTCATTAAGTCAAGTGTCTTCCATAGTGCTACTGCGCTAGCAAACAATTCAGTTTGCAGTGTATACGTCTGGCTATTAATTATTTTGCTACACTTAATAAAGTTCCTATAGTTTTTATTCAGGGAGATGACAACAAAAAAAGATGCGGCCCTGTCAAGTGGACTCCTGCTTAGATCCATCACTGTATATTAATTTGTGATACACTATTACTAACAGTTAAGTGAAAAAAAAACTGAGCAGTTGCCTTTTGTAAGTGATTTAAGGAAGGGATTAAAAGTGATGCTTTCTTGGGTGAAGTTTGCAGGTATGTGATATTAAATGAACACATCTTCCATGGAGGGGTGAAATTCTCATGTTGTCTACAGTGGTACAGTTCGTACAAGTTATACAACTTAATTTAATTTGATGTTTTCGCAACCTATTTAGATCTATCTTTATTTACTTGTAGACACTTAGCTAAATTCATAGTGATAGCGTCCGTTTCATTTCTTAATATCTTGATACCATATATAGTGTTAATCTCAAAAATTCTATCTCTGATATTAGTAACACCAATCTTTCCTGACATTAAGAACCATAGTAGATTTAGGACAGTCAAGAATAATTCTGAGGGCTTCACTTTGTATTAACTCCGAGGACCAGAGAGAATTATTTTTAATAATATTAATATGAGCGCAACATAGTGAATTATGTATCTAATATAGGCTATATACATCATTCTCACTATTCTTAAATTAGCGCCATAGTTGGGGTTATAGCAGCAAGAGCTCTGAGAGCATTTAATCTATCTTTGCATTTCTTAGTTTGTTGTGGTATGGTGGATTTGTTGAAGGGTTTATCTTCATCAAGATGTCTATAAGAATTAAAGTAGTTAATGTTTTCTTCCTACAAACAGATGGGTAAGACATATCGTTTGCTTGTCAGTGTCTTTGTTTTAGATGAAGATATGGCGAGGCCGAATCAATCACAAATTACTTAAATTTCGTTAATAATGGTGCTTATTGTCTAATGCCTTGTTGTATTGATCATGCCATCAGAATTATGTATAGATACATTTTTCCGTGAGAAAATCAGATCATTTGTAAAAGCCTTAATCAAAACATTAAATAGTTTGGGACTGTGAACTTCACCCTGAGGTGTACCTAGGGACATTTATTTAGACTAGCTTTTAAAGCCTTTGTAGAGAATAGTGGGTACTCTATTTGACAGATAACTTATTATCCGACTGAATAGATTAACATCAGTATTCCTTGAGCTAGTTCATGAAGAATAACAGTTTCGTTTGTGTAATCAAATGCAGATTTCGGATCCAGAAATGTGGTAAAACTAATAGAGGTGTGAACAGTGGAAAAGGTGGAAATACAATTCTATACACTTTTTTCTCTCATAAAACCATAGAGATGCTGCGAGAGTTGGTGCCTGAATCTATAGTATAGTCTGTTGAGTATTATTTTTTTAAAATATTTCAAAAAGAATAGTAGTTAAAGAGACTGGGCTAATTAGGGGACCCCAAACTCTTCAGCTTATCTATCCCTTCATGAAGTTTTAGATTGTACATAGACCCCTTAACATTTATTATATGAAAATAATTTAATGAATAGTACTTCAACTAATAGTATTACTGAGAATAATAATGATAATAATAATAATAATAAATAATAATAATAATAATAATAATAATAATAATAATAATAATAATAATAATAATGACTTCATAAAAAATAGGTAATATTTAAATTATGAAAAATATAAGATTTAACATACTTTTTTTACTGAAACTGTTGATATCAATAATGGAAAGGATGCATCTGATGAGCGTCAACAAGGACACTGATATTTGGTTGGTGATTGTTGAGCTTTAGTGGTAAGTCACCGCGCTCTTCCAGGTTCAGTCTGTTCCTCTGCTTAGTTAGAATTGTAATAAAGTTGGTAGAATTACCGACAATATGTAAAGTAAAAGGACACAAGTGCAACTAATGTGACATTTATCGTGGCAACGTTTCGCTCTCCAGGAGCTTTATCAAGCCATTACAAACAATACATGGACACAGAGGGTATATAAAGGCTCAGAGTGAGGTGCAATACTAGTGAGGTACCATTTCGATGTTCACTAGTGGTAGTAGTAGTAGTAGTAGTGGTAGTGACAAAAGTAATACAATATGGTAGAGCAATTAATTCGTACATGAGTAAAAGGATATAAAAGCTATTATTTGGGTAACATAAAAAATAGGTTGGACAAATATAGACTGGAAAGAGGCAGCTTGTTTCAGTGTTCATTCTCTGTAATGTGCTTTGTGTAGTATAACAGGAGAGACTATGTGATGTCAGGGTTTACTGTTTTCAGGAGGATTCTTGCTAAGACTTCGGAGATGGTGAAGCTGCTGTTGTTTTGTTTAATTGTATTCGAAACAGCGATCAGTGCTGATTCGAGGCACTTGCGTCTGCGGAAATTAGTTTCTTTGATCACTAATTGGGCGTCTCTGAATTTCATGAGATGATTGGTGGAATTTCGGTGTTGTACACAGGCGTTGTTCAAGTTATCGTTCCTACATGCGTAAATGTGTTCATTGAGGCGGGTGTCGAGGTTTCTTGCTGTTTCACTTACGTAAATCTTGTCACAGCCTCCACAGGATATAGTGTAAACTCCTGCATTGACTGGTTCGTGGTGCTTGGATTTTGTCCTGGTTAGATCCTTTATTGAAGTGCTAGAAGCGATGGCGACTCTGGTGTTAGCTTGTGAAAGTACTTTTGAGACTGTTTTTCTTTCAATAACAAGCTCTACAAACAAACCTACGGCATGGGAATGGGGTCCCCCATAAGTGCCGTCCTAGCCAACTTATACATGGAACACCTAGAGTCCGAACACTTCGCCAACATCATCCCTTCAAGCGTCACTTGGTTACGTTATGTGGACGATGTCCTCGTAATAACTCCAAAACGTTTTGATGTACGGGATCTTCAGGCAAGGCTCAACGCAGTTGAACCGGCGATCCAGTTTACACTAGAAGAAGAGTCCAATGACAAGCTACCTTTCCTCGACGTCCTCATTCACAAAGTAGACAACAACCTAAGATTTCGAGTTTATCGGAAACCCACCAATAAAAATGATCTCACACACTTCTATTCCAGTCAAGATACCAAGACCAAACGAGGCATCATCATCGGGTTTTTCCTAAGAGCATACCGAATTTGTAGTCCTGAGTTTCTTGACGAGGAATGTACATACATTCACCAAACATTCACTGAATTACATTTTCCTTATTTTTTCATCAAAGACTGCAAGAAAAGAGCTCTTCAGATCATTAATTCTCCACGCATCAACACCACTCCCAACAAAGTTGTAATTCTTCCCAACAGCCAGGTTGCACTGAACGTCTCAAAAGTACTTTCACAAGCTAACACCAGAGTCGCCATCGCTTCTAGCACTTCAATAAAGGATCTAACCAGGACAAAATCCAAGCACCACGAACCAGTCAATGCAGGGGTTTACACTATACCCTGTGGAGGCTGTGACAAGATTTACGTAGGTGAAACAGCAAGAAACCTCGACACCCCCTTAATTAAAACACATTTACCCCTTGTAAAACCCGGATAACTTGAAAAAAGCCTTTTGTACAACACCGAAATTCCCCCAATCTTTCATGAAAATTTCGGAGACCCCCAATTATTTGATCAAAAAAAAATTTTTTTTTCCGCGGGACGCAAGTCCCTTTCAAATCGCACTGACGCGGTTTGGGAATAAATTAAACAAAACAACAGCGCTTCCCCTTTCCCCGAAGTTTTTAGCAAGAACCCTCTGAAAACAGTAAACCCTGCCACATAGTCTCCCCTGTTTTTACTACAAAAAGAACTGCATTTTGTAACTTGGGTAATGAAAAAATTTCAAAAAAAATTGTTTTAAAACCAAAGAGGGAATAAAAAAATGTGCAGAAAAAAAACATTTTTTTTGGTATTCTATGTAACTTTTCGAAGTGAAGAAAAAAATTTAATGAATACGTTTGGTAGCTGTGTGGGAAATTTGATATCATTGCTTTTAATAAAAACGTGGTATGATTTAAAGAGTGGGGATAGGATGTGAGTGAAATTATTCGGGGAAATTTAAGTTATTCAAGGGGGATAGATGAAAAAGGGGGGGGGGGAGGAGTTGCATTGTATGTTCGAGAAAATATAAAATTGTTGCAAAAAAACAGGTAAAAAAATAGATGGGCGTAAACAGAGTCTTTTTGGGGTAGAGTTCTGGAGGGTAAAAGAAAAACTAATTCTGGGTGTAATATACGACCTCCAGGTTGGTTACGTTTAAGGGGAGATTTCCCTTTGGGACAAAAATTTTTTAGGGTTTGGAAACATTTAACGAAGTCTTAGTAGGGGACTTTAACTTTACCCAAAATTGGGACGGGAAATTTTTTGAAAAGGTTTAATCTAGGGGCCCAGTGACTTCTTTGGAAAAACATTTTGGGACTTTTTTCCTGAAACGGGTTTGGTTAACAAAAACCTACCAGGGGTAATAATTTGTAGCCCAAAAGTCTTGTCAAAAAAAGGAAACACTCGTGAAAAAATCTGGGACACTGAAGAGTTTTGGCGCAAGTGTTTCAAAAATCCATCCCCTTTTTGCTTTAATTGGGAATGAAAGGGAAATAATGATAATACATTTAAAAAAATCCCCGATTTTCGTTCTGCCGATTATAAGGGAAACTTAGGGAACATCTGTCTAATCTTGATTGGGGTTATTAGCTAAGGGATTTTATTGACGTTTAATCTTACTTATAAATATGAAGGGTTCTGCTTTTTGATTGTTTTTTAAAAATTTGTCCCCAGTGCCCAGAGTTATACATTCCCCAGAGAAAAATTAGGTTAATAAAACCCGATCCCAAAAGGGTTAAACAGGAGGAAAACCCATCTATTAGGGGGGGGAAAAAGGGGGAAAATTTTATAGGGCATCAGAAGAGGGGGAAAAACCTTACTGCCCAAATATGTTCAGTTTAAAAGAGAAGTAAAAAAGGCGATTAAAAGGCAAAAACGTGACTAAAAAATTAGAGTCGCTAATGAATCAAAGGATTTAACCCAAAGGGGTTTTTTTCCAAGTTTTATGGGCCGAAGGTAAAGGGAAAAAAAGTGGGAAACCTCTGAAATCGGGGAATGGACACCCTGAGGATAATGAACGGGAAAATGTGTTTTATTTAAGGGAAATATTTTTGTAAAGTTTTTACACAGGAAGAGAAATTTTGAGTTTCCCCAAGTAATTAACAATTATTTATTTCCCTGTGAATTTAATTTAAATTAATTTTTACTTTTCACGAGGGAATGGTTATTAAACAGTTTGACAAACTGAAAAAAAAAGGGCCCGGGACCCGGATAGTTGTTTTCAAGGGTACTTAAGGAATGAAAAGATGGAGCTTAGTCAGCCTTTAACGAGTGTATTCAATGCGCCCATCCTTCCCAAGTTTTTGTGCCGGGAATGTGGAAGATGGCTAATGTGGTTCCTATTTTCCCAAATCGGGGGAAATTAATTTCCACTCCTTTCTTTTTTACCTTTCCAAAAAAGCCGGGCCATCATAGTGGGAAAGTTTTTAAAAAAATCAATTATAGCGACATTATCAAAAGACCTTGAAGAGCATCCCCATAAAAAAATTTGAATCTGGGCAGGGGTTTTCACAAAGAGGCGTTCCTGCCTGAAAAACTTCGGGAGTTTTCAATAGAACATTTGAGGCTTTTGACAGTGAAAAGGGAATATGATATTGTTTATTTGGTTTTTTGTAAGCCTTCAAAAGGGATTTCCTAAAAAGGATTTTAAAGAAAAGTGGCACCCCCCCCTTTTTGGTTTTTTTTAAATAGGAGGGAAAGTTCTAGCAGGGGTTTGGGGGCTTGGCTTACCAATAAAAAAAGCAGGAGTTCCCTTTAAATTGGAGTAAAAATTGAATAAGAACATAAGAAGGGTGGGAAAAACCCCTGCGAAGGCCTACGGGCCCCCATACGGGGAGGGTTCCTTATCAAAAAGGCCTCTCCCCTGGAAATAAAGGGTTAAAAAAATACCGACACAATGGCCATAAAACAAAAATTGCAGTAAAATTTGATCCTTTATTGACTACGTTTCCCCCCACACAGGGGGGTTTTTTCAAGCCAAAAAACAAAAACTACCGGGGGTTTGGAAGGAACCGAGTAATTTTTGCCCCGGCTGAGGACTATAAATGTGCGGGGACTACAGATGTTTGCTGGAAAATCAGTCCAGCACTTCAAACACTCAGGTGATTTTCTAAATTCGCATTCGCAACATAAAACTTTCGGAACAAGAAATTTTTCCACCCTTGGGAAATTAACTCTCCTTTTTTTTATTCACAAAAGGACCTACTAAAAAAGGGCCCACGATCTTTTTGCGAAAGAAAATTGCCCGTTATTGATCTTCCCATTCCACCCAGCACTTCATCGACTGGTTGAACTATGTTTGGCTTTACGTGTTTTTTTGGAAAAAAAAACCTTTTTCAGCGGAATTTTTGGGATACCCATGGGTTCGCCCTATTTGGCAGTTAGCAAAACCTATACATGGAAACTTTCTAGAAGCCGAACGTTTCTCCACCATTTTTCCCTTCGCCCTGTCCCCTGGCCCCGTTTGTTGACGACATTCTCCTCATTTTTCCCTTTTAAACGCTTAAAACTTCAAGCTCCCCAAGAAAAAGCTCAACCGGGTCGACCCCTTTAAAATCCAGTTCACCTTAAAGAAGAGGTCGACAACACTTTCCTTTCCTTGTTGTTCTACTCTGAAAAGTTGCCCACAAAACTTGGGTTTTAAAAGTCTATCAAAAAACCCACCCCCAAAACGATCTTTTTCCAATTCTCTTCCCACAAACCCCAAAAACCCCAAACGTGGTGAATTATAGGCTTCTTCCTGCTTTGAACTCTGAATCTG